GTCACTATTAGATAAATCGATGGTGATATCGCGTCGATAATCGCGATGATTACGCTTACTCGCTCCGATTGTTTTTGCATATGTGATAAGGCCGATATTTAAAGTAAAAACTTGCGTATGGCTGCATGAATGCGTGTGTATGTATGTAAATTGCACGTGCATATTAAGGATTATGTGTGTATAATATATATAAGAATAATAATAAAGCAATAGTAAAAAATAGTAATAATATTAATAGTAATAATGACAGCCGTTGTGGAAGATTTGGAATAAACTTCATTCAAACAGATTGTGTCTTAATATTATTCCCGTGTTCAAAATAAATAGCAATTTACGTCATTTTCTATTATCTCTATATTATCTGTTTATTATGTTACAAAGCTTCATTTATAGTATATTATTATATAATAAATTAATAATTAAAAATATAATTAAGAGCACTAATATTTTGAGAAATATTCATAGACCTGTCTTGTATTTAAGATCTCAGGTGATTTGAATGTTCTATCCAGCTAATCTAAAAAATAATCACATTTCAAAATGATAAAATAAAAGGATACATATAACAAATAAATAAGTGGATTGACAAAATAAATTTATCAACAATATTTTAATAATTCATTCTTCTAAAAAAAAAAACAAAAAAACAAATAATCGAAGATCAAATGTATCTCGATATTACGCTTGAAACTTCATATCTTCACCTATTTCCATGGAAACTATTATCAAATATAGAATTTCACTTGTTTTTATCGATTAAACGTCATTCAGTTATTGTTTCAGTTATTTTTCAACGAATCACAATGGATTGCTCAGGGTAGCTTTGGAATTCCTAATTCTGCAACAATATTTTGCATTGGCATGAATTTATCACTTTTGGCTCTCCAACGAATTTTATTCACTGATATCTCTAGCTGCATTAGTCCCATGTTGAGACTCCTGACCAAATAAAGAAGGAAAAAGAAAACTAGAGCAGCAAAAGGAACCTATATTACTTCGAAGCAAATTAAATATCTGCAAATCGCATAAAGGACGCTTTCTAAAAATAATATAATATAATTTCATTAATATTATATACATCAGGTAACGTGAATGCATATATAAACTATATTATTTCATATCTGCTATTAATTTCGTCATATTTGTGTATACATTTGATAATGCTTTTAATTGAGATTTTCATGGTACTTTCTATAGAAGCTATATGTGTGTGATGGTGTGTCAAGATCCATTTTTTTATTAAAATGTCAACGTTTCATGATATATTCATTTTAGTTCACTTCATCAGGGACACAGAGATAATTCGTAACATCGAAGCAAAATAACAAATCATGATAACGTTAAAACGAATGATAAATGATATTTTGAAATTATTTTGATATCATTATGACATCAAAATGATGACAAAATGATCATTAAAAGTCATTTTTCAACCATTTCTGATTCATTTTAATGTCTGATTCTCATCTTCTTTAATGTAGAAGATTATTAAAGAGATTCTAAAGTGACAAAATTATGATTGACATTGCAGATTACAAAGTTTTCGATTTTTTGTTGCATAACCAGCAAATGTCTTTAACACATACATATAACCTTTACATTTATCAATTTTCCTCCTCAATAATATAATTGTATAACTGTTATAATATGTTACATGTTATATTATTGAGTAGAACATTATAACTAACAATTATATTGTTATTAGTTGGTGTTTGCTATAGGTAGATCGCAAAATTTGTACAACTAAAATTATACTAAAAAAGATGTAAAACGAGTAAATTATACATAAATATATAATCAGTGTATTTGTAAAACATTTATAAAAATTTGAAAAAATATAAATTGTATAATAATTATAAAAAATAAATTTAAAAATCTTAAATTTAAGCTGATCCTTTTTAATATTTCCAAATTATTAAATAATACTTTAATATGTATATTTTAATTGAAATTATATATAAAGAAGTAATAAAACACAAAAACTCATAAAAGTTTTTGTACATTTACAATGGTTAATTTATTGGTTAATTTATATTGATTGCAACAAAAATATTTAATTGACCAGATAAAGCAAAGATTTCTCTCTTTGATTTGTTACTAGTTAATACATCTTTAATACATTGAAAAAAATGCATGTAATTTTACATAAAAATTATATTGTATATGACCGTATATTGATAAAATTACCTATATGACAGGAAATTTTCTGGAAAAGAAGTCATATTTAAGTAATTTTCCGGTTATATACATGTAATTTCCATATGAAATCACATACATTTTTTTCAGTGTACTGATATCTTCTCAAATTTTGTATAAAACATAAACACGTAAAATTAATGAAAAAAATTCTACTTGCTTTATATTAATTGAATATCTTTTTAGCTTTAATAATAATTAGAATTTTATTGTTATAGAATAATAACATTAAAAATGGCTGGAAGTGACTGCATTAATACGATTGATGAAATAGAAGATCTTATGGATCTATTAACGTCAAATGAAGATCTCGATGAGATAAGAATCTTTGATTCAACAGTATAAGTAATAGATTTTTTTCGTATAATTACATATTAAATAATATTTTTATTTATTATTTAATCTCTCATTAATGATCGATTATTGTATAATATTAGAATATGTCTTTAAATTTTATTAGGAGTACAAATTAGTTCAATCCGTTTTCCAAAAGATGACTCCAATTGTGAATGGTTCATAGTGACAGCTGATTTTGGCGTTTTCAGAAAGGTTAGACATTTGCTAATAATATTCAGTTTATATCGCTTTGAGTTTCATACAAAAACCTTGATTTTTACTGTGTTTGAAATGTCGAATTTTATGTTAACCAAGCAGCATTTGCGGGAGGTTCTAATTTTCTGCTTTAATTGGAAGAAAAGTGCAGCTGAAACTCATCGAATGCTTGTCGAAGTTTATGGTGACACTGCTCCAACTGATAAATCATGTAGGGAATGGTTTCAACGTTTCAAGGATGGAGATTTCAGCGTTGAAGACAAGTCTCGCTCTGAATAGTCAAAAAAATTCGAAGACAAAGAATTAGAGGCATCACTTGAAGAAGATCAGAGTCAAACGCAAGAGGAGCATGCAGAATCATTGGGAGTAACTCAAAAAGCCGTTTCTGCACGATTGAGAGCCATGGGAATAATTCAAAAACAAGGAAATTGGGTGCCTTATGAACTGAAACCGAGAGACGTTGAAAGGCGATTTTTCACTTGCGAACAGCTGATTCAAAGAAAAGGTTTTTTGCATCGGATTGTGACTGGAGAAATGGATATTCTACAACCCCAAGAAGAAAAAATACTATGCTAGCCCGGTCAATCGTTGCCATCGACCTCAACATCAACACCAAAGCCGAACATTCATGGTTCGAAGATCATGCTCTGTATCTGGTGGGACCAAAAGAGTGTTGTTTACTATGAGCTGCTGAAACCTGGCGATTCCATTACGGGCGATCGGTATCGGCTACAACTGATTCGTTTAAGCCGTGCATTGCGAGAAAAACAACCGGAATGAGCAAAGACATGATAAAGTTATTTTTCTTCATGACAACGCTCGGCCTTATGTCGCAAAAGTCGTAAAAAAATATTTGGAAACGCTCAAATGGGATGTTTTACCGCACCGGCAGTATTCTTCGGATATTGCTCCTTCTGATTACTGGTTGTTCCGAAGGATGCAGTACGATTTGGCAAGTCACTGGTTCACTTCTTTCGCAGAAATCGAAAATTGGCTCCAAAATTGGATCGCCTCCAAAGACGAGTCATTTTTTCGAGATGGAATTCGAAAATTGCCTGAGAGATGGGAAAAAGTAGCCAGCGATGGGCAATACTTTAATTAATCTGTTCATTCATTTTGTTTTGAAATAAATACATTTTTGAACACAAAAAAACGGACCGAACTAATTTGTACTCCCAATATATCATTTTATTACTAATAAATTCTCGGATAATTATTTAGAAAACGCCCCTCACCTTCAATTTTAATAAAATTATGCTTATTTGTCGCATTTTTGCAGGAAATCTGTCACACCGATTTCATACAACGCTATTACACGTATTTTAATCTGTATTTATTTAGAATCATTACTTCACCTCCGATTTTAATGAAATTAGGCTGATTCGATGCATTTTTATTCAAGATGAAAGCTTGCTCTGTTCTATATGCGAAAAATTTTAAGTCCCTAAATGACGAAAGAAAGACAAAATTGAATATTAATATACAAACGTTAATATATTACTGTAAGAAGTTAAGTAAAAAATGCACATATAGCCATAAAGCATGAAAATGTGATCGCAGCACATGCTTTCATCGCGATATTTCATAACTGACAGATTTCCTAACCTCAATAATCGTTAACTTCAACGCTTAATATCTCGATTCGCGGAATTAGGCAACATTTTATTGCCAGATTCTTTTGTTTCATGCAAAAACGCGTCAAATGAGCATAATTTCATTGAAATTGAAAGTGAAGGGTGTCTTTTAAATAATTACCAATTCTCGCACTTTGTACAAAATCTGTTTTTTGTGGCTGAACTAGTGTACACTAGTGCTTGTATTATTTGCTCTAATTCCAGATCTAGTACAGCCAGTACAGTGAACTCGCGCACTGAGTTCTGTTGCACTGGAACAAAAAACACCATCGCTGACGCCATTTTGGGAACAGAAAACGTTTTAGGGGCTCCGCACAATAAAAGGAACAGAGAACAGAGAATAAGAATTTTAACCTATCACAAACTGTGTATTTCACAATACATGATCTCTGATAGGTTGAAATTCTTATTCTCTGTTCTCTATGCCCTGTTCCTTTTATTGTGCGGAGTCCCTTGGTGTACACTTTTTGAACTAGTGCAACCAATGCAAGAACAGAAAACAAACCTAAGAACTCTATAAAAATAGCTGTAAGGGAGACATCTGTGAATCGCTTTCCAAACTTGATAACAGTTCTGTTAAAGCATCTTGTACTTTGAAGCATTCACTTGCATCTTTATATGCACTGTGTGTTTACATGTGTTTCATCGTAATCGGGTTTTAACAATTTCTCCATCGATATTTAATTTTACGTTAATCTGCCGATTGATGCAGTCACCCGCAGCGTCGATGCGCCCTTTGCTACGTGCCTTCGTAAGTGTCTCGTCCGTACTTTGTGAGAGAAAATCTCGAATCGGACACTAACATTATATTGCATTTGCGTCAGACCGCCATCATGCTACTAAACTTATTACAAATAGAACAAGCTGGACAAGAGGTCTGTTCTTTATCACGGCATTGAATTAAACTGAATTGCATTAAAACTCTCTATCTCGTTTTCGACAAATTTCGAATATATAGCTTTGTTAATTACTGTATTGAATTGTACTATAAAATCGACTATTTTCTTCACTTTCACTAAATATCAAACATATACCTATTTCATTTTAAATACAAAAATATATACTTTAGCTACAAAAAATAAACCTATAAGATATAAGATATTTGTTTGCGTTGTTACAATTTTCAAAGATTTATGCATTTAAAACGAAATAAAATGTATATTCGGACAAAAGAGAGAAAGTGAAGATTTTAAATACAAAAAGTGCAACATGCACAGACTTACAGTCAACGGCGGGAAATTTTAAATAAAAGACTATAACTTGTATTCACATATATTAACATAACATCTAATTATTAATGTTAATGTATGTTGATTTAAAGCATATACTAATTCTATATACTCTCTAAATTTTTTGGAATGGAATCTCGCTCTAAAAATGAAAATTGAGTCAGTCTTGAAAAAGAGTGGCTCAGTTTTTAATCTTTAAGAGTAAATTTTTATTCTTCAGTATAAGATTTACTTTTAAAAAGTTTTAGGACTTAAAAGTAATATATATGATTCTATATACTTATAAAAATATTTTAATTATTTTTATTTAAAGTCCATAGCGTCCAAACAGCATATTGACATGGTCGATCCGATGAAAGTCGAGATGGTGCTCTCAGAGAGCAATCGCAAGGCTTGCATCAAAAAATTCAAATCATTCCCGATGCCAAAGTTGCGTAATGTAGCAGAAGCAGCTGTGTTGGTCCCATTATGTTTACATAAAGGAGAACTCGGATTCTTATATACTCTGCGATCCATGAAACTTACATCCAATCGGGGACAAGTCAGTTGTTTGTATAATATCCATATAAATATTTCAAAAGTTATAAATTTATATAAATAAATTGTCAGTAAGTGTCAACTAATAATAGCATGTAACATCATATGATAATTTTATGCTCAGGAATATAAATATAACATTAATGTATAACATAATATAATATATAATTAATGTATAACATATTATATATAACAATTCAGTATGAAATTATAATAACATTGATAGTTACATTATTTTTAGTTGGCATTTACTAATGTATTCTAAATTCATAAATTTTTACTCTTTGAATTTTATTAATTTTTTGTATTATTAGCCACTTAATAAGTCTCGAATTAGCCCATATTATTTGAATTTATATTCATATATATCAGAGCCTTATATATAATTAATTGTTGAATTATTGAAATACAATTTGCACAATCAAGTATCCGAATTTAATTTGAAAATAACAGAAAAACAAATTTCTTAAGGATATCTGTTGTAGGTGTCCTTCCCGGGTGGCATGCGTGACAAAAGTGATGTTGATCTGCAAGAAACTGCTTTACGAGAGACTTGGGAGGAGTTGAAGATTCCCAGGGAGAAGATCGACGTGTGGACTACAGGGAATCTCATCGGCAAATCTGACGTTAATGTGATGCCGGTTCTAGCCTACATTGGCGAGGTGGTGCCAAAAGAACTGGAAATCAATCCTGATGAGGTAGAAGAAGCGTTCGTAGTTAGCCTGCAAAAATTGTGCGATCCTAAGCTGATTAGTTTCACGAGTTTCCGCCGATCACTTGTGACCCTGCCATGTTACCTGGGTGGAAAATATCGTGTCTGGGGTTTTACCGGCGCTATCACTCACATGGCTCTCGAATGCTTAGTGCCGCAAGTGTACAAATACAAGTTCTTGTCAATACAACCGATGCAGAAGAATGAATCTGAAAAGAAAAAATCGGTTTCTTCCGATTATGATGCAACCCGTTCGAAAATATGAAGAGTAGAGTAGAATAAAATGCTAGAATAAGATATATTAAGAACTACGGAATTTTAATAAATTCAAATTTCGATACTGATAGATTTCCATACATAACAATTAGGTAATAATTACGATAAAAGTTATTAGTGATGTGATGGAAATAATATTTTTTTACTAAATTGAAAATTGAATACATTAAAATTACGCAGATCTTAAGTCCGTGTATAAATTGTCAAATAGTCGATCTATCAAAACTTCGTTTGGAATTGAGGAATTAGAATTCGTTCCATTCTAATTCCGTAAGTTTGAGCGGAATAGAATTTAGATATTTTCTTAAACATGTTCGTTATAAAATTTGTTGCAGATTTTATACATTATTTGTGATTTTAACGATTATGGTTAAGGAAAAATAAAATATTATAAAATAAAATATACTAGGAAAAATAAAATATTAATATATTTCTACTTTTTATTAATTGATTAAAATATATCTACAAGAAAAAAATGTATTATTTTTTCTCTTCTTTTATACATTTTATATGGTATTTGAATTTTATAATATTAAAATTAAAAATATATATACAATAATATAACCTTTTATGAAAGATTAAAATAAAATAGCCTCAAGTGATACTATTTTATTATTTTAATCTTTCACAAAAAGTTATTCTTTATTTAATAAACGTTTAATATATCATCAATTATATTAATCATTAAAAGGAACAATTGTTTTCAAGATTCATACAAATTTTTTAGTCCAACACACGACATCCAATAGGAGAACTAGTTTCCTAGGGATAAATTAAAGTTTCTAGAAGACATAAGCTATGTTTCAAAATTCACTGTCAGTGTTGAAAATGTATAATATACATGACGTAAACTGTAAATTTTCAGCGCTGGCAGTGAATTTTGGAACACAGTCATAGTTTCCGATAAGAAATGTTTATTACCTTCATCATGATTGACAGGCTCCAACGGTAATAACCAATTATGTCCGACTATACTTGATTACATAACTACAGTTTTGCAGCCAATAGCAAGAAACAGACGCGCGTCGTTTCCGGCGAAATAAATAGAGGAATGGCCGCCAAGAGAGTCTGGTGTCTGGTTTCTCTCCGGCTCTCTCCCTCGCAACGGTTGTAGCGGTGTGAACAACCGGTCATCCAAGTACGACGAGAAAATCCGGAGGCATCGTCGAGCATCATCACGTTGAAGGCTCGATCGAGGTAAAATAATATTCTTAACGATCATCCGCTCACGTAGCTGCTCTTATTTTTTCATTAACGGTACATTTCGGCTTAATTTTGAGGTAAAAGCGACGATCCGCGTCGTGTCGAATTATTAAATAGAATTTCTCATGTCATTTCAGAGTATGGACTCTCGGAGACTTTTATCGAGAGCATAAAGCCCTCCATTCATTTATTAATTATTCGAAAGATCAATCAAGCAATAGGAAAACGCAACGATCTAGTAGGCCAAGATGTATCTGTACAATCTGACCCTCCAACGTGCCACGGGCATCACGCACGCAGTGCACGGTAATTTCTCCGGCAGCAAAATGCAGGAGATCCTCGTCTCCCGTGGTAAATCGTTAGAGTTGCTGCGACCGGATCCGAATACGGGAAAAGTCCACACTCTGTTGACCGTCGAGGTTTTCGGCATTATTCGATCTCTCATGGCGTTCAGACTTACCGGCGGAACGAAGGATTATATTGTCGTTGGATCAGATTCTGGGCGTATAGTAATATTAGAGTATATTTCTGCCAAGAACATCTTTGAGAAGGTACATCAGGAGACTTTTGGCAAAAGTGGATGTAGACGCATCGTTCCTGGCCAATATCTTGCCATCGATCCAAAAGGAAGAGCAGTTATGATAGGTACAGTATATTCTCTGGTTTTCTGATCCTTTATTATATAGAATGGATCATTTATGTTCCGAGTTAATTTTTATCACTTTAATAAATATACAAGAATTATTAAATAATTCTTACATATATTCTTTAAAACAGAAACTATCTAATTTTAACTTCTGAGCCAAAATGTAAAGCCATCGATACAAAAAGAATCAATGTGGATACGATTTCAAAGATTGTGAAGTGCTGATATATGTCTAAGCTTATCAACACTTTGCATTTCTCTGAAACTTGTTCACAAATCACATTGAATTTTTTTTTGCATCAGTGATTTTGGCTCCTGAGTTAAAACTTACAAAATATGACACAATTACATTTTAAAGTAATTTAATATTATGATTTTTTTTTAAATTGTGACATTATTGTAACAAATGAACGATATGATTGTTAAGTACCATATGATTACTTTGTTCGTGTTTCAACTGATTAACATTGATTACAACTTCTTTTATTAATGATGGTACTTTATGAATAATAAAAATTACAACTGTCTTGAAGCAAATCGGGGGTGTAATATTTTGGTATTTTTGTTTTAGGTGCTATCGAAAAACAGAAACTTGTGTACATTCTTAACAGAGACGCCGAGGCCCGTCTTACAATCTCTTCTCCATTGGAAGCTCATAAGAGCAACACACTAGTTTATCATACAGTTGGTGTCGACGTTGGTTTCGAGAATCCTATGTTTGCGTGTTTAGAAATTGATTACGAGGTAAACTTAATTTTTTTTATTATATAACAGATATCGATATTATGTATCATATGATTATATACCGTGTTTCAACTGATTAACATTGATTACAACTGTTTATTTATATGATGATACTCGATTAGATTTGCAATCTTATCTGTATATGAAGCGCGTATATTTGACATTTATATGTATATTATACATTTCGTAAAAATATTTATCCAGGAAGCCGACAGCGATCCCACGGGTGATGCAGCAGTGAAAACGCAGCAAACTCTTACGCTGTATGAGCTTGATCTTGGTCTGAACCACGTAGTGCGGAAGTACAGTGAGCCATTAGAAGAACACGCTAACTTCCTCGTGTCTGTACCTGGCGGTAATGACGGCCCAAGTGGTGTGCTCATTTGCTCCGAAAACTATCTTACATACAAGAATCTCGGGGATCAGCATGACATACGTTGTCCGATCCCGCGACGCCGTAATGATTTAGACGATCCCGAGAGAGGAATGATATTTGTGTGTTCGGCTACACATAAAACAAAGAGCATGTTCTTCTTTTTGGCACAGACGGAGCAGGGTGATATCTTCAAGATTACTCTCGAAACGGACGAAGACATGGTCACTGAGATCAAGCTGAAGTACTTCGATACTGTACCCGTAGCAGCGAGTATGTGCGTCTTGAAAACGGGATTCCTGTTTGTCGCCTCGGAATTTGGAAACCAGTTAGTACTGTAGATTGTATTGATATCTTCGCGCGTGCATTTAAATTATTGCGAGCAGCGCAATTACATTGTCCTTTTTTAGTTATCTGTATCAAATAGCGCATCTCGGAGACGACGATGATGAGCCCGAATTCAGTTCAGCGATGCCGTTAGAAGAAGGAGACACTTTCTTCTTCGCCCCGCGACCGCTTCGAAATCTAGTATTGGTCGATGAAATGGACAGTCTGTCGCCCATAATGGCTTGCCAGGTAAAATATTTTATAAAATACGACAGGGTGCTTACTACCTAAGAAACCTAGAATTTTCAGAGAATTTTTATTTTAATCTTGAGAGAAAAAAATCTTGAAAATCAAAAATGGCATTTTATTTATATTCAAGAATATTTTTGGAATTTTTATTTAATTTAAATTCTGTCTTTAATAATTGTTTTTTTTTTATCTTGATAATAAAAAAATGTTGCAATCAGTTATAAATATAACCTATATGTCCCGCGAGATTTCTGTCAAACAGATTTTTCTAGATAGAGCGGACTAAACTGTCAAAAAATCCTCTACTATTTTGCAATTTTCGCAATTGTTGACGAGATATTAATTACTAAAAATTGCCGAATATTAGTTTTTAATAATTTTTTACTCGAATACTATCAACTTTGCAGAAAAATAGCAAGATACAAAAATTGTTTATTTTCTTCTCATAGAGTTCTAAGAATTTTTTCAAAATTTTTTATCAATTTTTAGTACAGCATTTTTTTATTGGCAACTCTTTTTACCAATATAAGAAAATATGGTATTAAAAAATTCTGAAAAAATTCTCAGAACTCTTTTATGAGAAGAAAATTAGTCATTTTTGTCTTTTGCTATAAAGCTGATAATATTCAATACAAAAAGCATTTGGCAGAAATCTCGCGGGACACTATATATTTGCGTACATTTACATACATTTTCATGAGTGGTTTAAAAAAAACGAGTTTTAAAAAAATTAGGGTAACAGCAGAATAGAGTAACTTATGATATTATATTACATAATTACCTTTATCATCTTTAAGCTTCGCGGCCCTGATTGTAAAAAGAGAACAGATATACTCTTGTTGAATCTCTTCTACTAATTTACAGAATACATAGAGTTTGCGTTGTTTATACTCCATTTTATTTCAAAAATTTCATTTTAAAAATCTCATCTGGAAAATCTAGGGATTCTCAAGGATTTTTTTTGTACAATCTTAGTAACCACCCTGTACAAGTTTTATTCGATTATGCACTTAAAGTAGGAAGGAGATGTTACTCGTGCGTCTCTTTCTTGTGGGATAATGTGCGATAGCAAAATTCTCTACGTCGCCTTTGGTTTGTTATTGCAAATTGAAGTGAACATCTAGAGAGATAAGCATAATACGATATTTTTTTGCTTCCTTGTATTTGTGGAGAGAAAACGAGAAGCAGATGTTTATAAGAACTTTTGATCATGGCTGTAGGTAGCAGATTTGGCGAACGAAGATACGCCGCAATTGTACATCGCTTGCGGACGAGGACCGCGGTCCACATTGCGAGTGTTACGCCACGGTCTCGAAGTTTCTGAGATGGCCGTGAGCGAGCTGCCTGGTAATCCAAACGCTGTTTGGACCGTGAAAAGAAGAATCGATGGTTAGTCGAATGATATTTCTATGTCTCAAACAATTTGTCTGCATGTTTTCACTTGACTTGCCTATTCGATAATCCGATAAGTTTTAGCTGTCTTTTTGTTGAGATCTTACTTTCCACATTTCTCTATCTTTATTCTTTTCAAAAATTTTGTATACAAGCGAAGCGACGAGATACAAAATATTCTACGCAATCAGCATCAGAAGTATCATAGATTTCTATGATTTTGTTTACTCTCTTTTACGAAAGTGGATTGTAAGTAGCTCAATAGCATAGTTCGAATAAATTTGCGAAAAGCTTTGTGGTAAGAACACTAGTACTTAATATAACTTGCAAAAGAAAATTAGTAGTAAAATTTGCTTTAAAAAGACGAACGGCATCGGTTTTGTAAAAAGATATTAATGAACCTGGTGGCTTGATACACTCTTATCAAACACCAGTTCTCTCTTTCAGGATGCCAGCGCGCTATTGGTTGACCCACAGAACTCTGAATGACCGAAAGGTAAGGAACCTCGGCGCGAAATTGGCACGAGTAGGAGTCGTTTTGTTCGGTAAAAATTTAATAAAAAACAAAAGTCGACTCTTTCCGTGCCCCACGAGAATGTGCGCAGTTTCGAATAATCGAGGACGTCTAAATGTTATATATATACATATATATATATATATATCTCTCTCTCTCTGTGCAAATTCAAATATTCGATTCAACGACGCATTCCCCTATGTATTGAGAATGAGCTTTGTAATTTTGATTGCAGAGGAATATGATGCATACATCATAGTCTCCTTCGTGAACGCCACACTCGTACTCAGTATCGGCGAGACTGTCGAGGAAGTGACGGACTCGGGTTTTCTCGGTACAACACCGACCTTGAGTTGCTCCGCCTTAGGCGAGGACGCATTGGTGCAGGTACAATGCACATGGAAATTATATCGTATCATAATCGATGGGCTCCATGCGTGAACCATGTATCCCATATCGTGTTAAGTTTGAGAGTAATGTATAATTAAAGTAAGTAAATTTTGATTCGGTCACTAAAGCATATTTTGAATTATAAATTGAATCAAATTAAATAACTTTCTTTACAATTGGATTAATTATCTGACAAAAATAATCACATTTTTGTCTGACAAAATAATTGCAAAAAATTCACATTTTTGGGACAGAATGGTATATGCATGGGATTATAATTTTTCTCGATTGCACTCGGTATCTCCGGCACCTGGTTGACCACGTGCCGGTCGCAAAAAAGTGCTAAAATATTCGGGCTCACGCATCGTTGGAACGTTCCGGATCTAATCCAAACTTTCCTGGTACTACAGGCCCAACAACTATATTACAAAGATCTTTTAATTTTTACAATGATAGAATCTATATTATATTATATTTTATTATTAAATACATGATATATATGATTTATCTGAATTATCTGAAATCTCAAATTTCTTTTAGGTATATCCTGACGGTATACGTCACATCCGAGCGGATAAGCGTGTTAATGAATGGAAGGCACCTGGCAAGAAGACGATCGTAAAATGTGCAGTCAATCAACGTCAAGTTGTGATCGCCCTCACTGGGGGAGAACTAGTCTACTTCGAGATGGATCCTGTATGTATTTAATATAACGATTCTTTCTTAATGTTTTCGCGATTATTCTAACGATCGCATCATTTGTTCTCTCTGAGTTGTTTAATCCTTGTTCTCAGAGACGTAGAGATGCGAACAGCATACCACTCATTTCATCTTGAACGATTTAGTTAAACCTTGTTTAATAATTAGGTTTGATAAAGAGTGAACAAGACATCGTGAAATTTCCCCTCAACGACGGCTTTCTATTAATACATCCTTTTCAGACCGGACAATTGAACGAATATACGGAAAGAAAAAAGATGCCCTCGGAAGTAATGTGCATGGCCCTCGGAAACGTTGCAGTTGGCGAGCAACGTTCATGGTTCCTTGCTGTCGGTCTGCAGGATAATACAGTGAGGATAATATCGTTGGATCCCTCAGATTGTCTAGCTCCAAGAAGCATGCAGGCGTTACCAGCAGCTGCGGAGAGTTTATGCATCGTGGAAATGGGCGCCAAAGATGCCGACAATTCCGAGGATGCGGCGCCACAGCAATCCAGTTTGTACCTGAATATAGGTAAATTTTATATTCGTATACAATATACGAATTTACATTTGTACTTTCTGCTCGTGGCAAGCTTATGTTTCTAAAAACTAAATAATCTAATCGAATCGTCTTTAATGCATATTGTATATATTACTGTCGTCATTAATTGCAGGTTTGCAGAACGGTGTGTTGCTTAGAACTGTATTAGATCCTATTTCCGGAGATCTCGCAGACACAAGAACACGCTACCTAGGCTCTCGGCCCGTGAAGCTCTTCAGAATACGAATGCAGGGTAATCAGGCGGTGTTGGCGATGAGCAGCCGGTCCTGGCTGAGTTATTATCACCAGAATCGTTTTCACTTAACGCCCCTATCATACGAGAGTCTTGAATTCGCGTCGGGCTTCAGTTCCGAGCAATGTCCAGAGGGTATCGTCGCCATATCGACAAATACACTGAGGATCTTGGCGCTCGAGAAACTAGGGGCCGTGTTCAATCAAGTGAGCTTCCCACTGGAGTACACTCCGAGGAAGTTCGCGATTCATACAGATTCTGCGCACTTAGTAGTCATCGAAACGGAACATAATGCTTACACGGAGGAGACAAAGCAACAGAGAAGACAGCAGATGGCGGATGAAATGCAAGAGGCGGCTGGCGCCGAGGAAGCGGCTGTCGCTAGAGAATTGGCGGAAGCCTTCATGTCGGAGGAGCCAAACGAGGCGGTTTTCGGTGCTCCGCGAGCTGGCCCGGGACTGTGGGCTTCCATGCTGAGACTAATGGCACCGACCACCGGGGAAACATTCGAAGTGCATCGTTTCGAGCAAAATCTAGCCGCGTTATGGTAAAGAAAAGACAATCTTGATTAAAAGAACAATTTTTATCTATTTCAATAAAAATTGTAGTTGTCCAATGTTATAAATCTTTTCTTTTCTCCACAGTCTTTGCCTCGTAAAATTTGCTAATCAAGGTGATCAGCTGTTTCTCATCGTTGGAGTCGCGAAGGAATTTCAATTAAATCCTAGAGTTAGCAATGGCGGTTTTCTTTACACATACAAGTAAGATATCTCACTCTACAATATTTTCTCTGATACATAAGATCTATTCTTTTTAGCTAAAGTTCTTGCACGGTTCATCTTTCTTTTCTTTTCACATTGGAAAAAAAAAAGAAAAGAAGAATCGTGCAAAAAGTTCAGTTAAAAAGAACAGATCAGGACTATACTGATTTTTATAATACTTTTTAATGAATATAAAACATTCTCGACAAAATAATCAAAAGTGATTGCTTTGTATTTCAGAGTAAATCCAGATTGTACCAGTATTGAGCTACTGCACAAATCTCCGTTAGATGAAGTACCGTTAGCCATTTGTCCGTATCAAGGCCGAGTACTAGTCGGCGTGGGTAGAATGTTACGGCTTTATGATATGGGTAAAAAGAAATTACTGCGTAAGTGCGAGAACAAGCATATTCCGAACGCAGTCGTATCCATAAACGCAATCGGCCAACGGATCTATGTCAGTGACGTACAGGAATCTGTATATGCAGTGAGATACAAGCGTCAAGAGAATCAGTTAATTGTTTTCGCGGACGACACACATCCTAGATGGATCACAACGACATGCGTATTAGATTACGACACCGTCGCCACCGCCGACAAATTCGGAAATATAGCTGTGGTAAGTTCACGTCTTATCCCACAGAACACCAACAGTAACTTTATATCAATATTATAATTTCCCACTTAACAACAAATATAATATAACGCATCAGAATTGTCACAGAAAAGGAAAAGTCAGAGAATTTTGCAAACTTTTCTGGAAAATTAAAATTCTTATCTTTAATAGTTACATTGTTGAATAGAAAATTATAACATTGTAATGTTATTGTTAGTTTGTATTCTGCAAAATATTTTACCTTTCTAGCCGTACGTTTGTATAACAATTTGACTTGTTACATTTCCATCTTTTTTATTTTCTTTCAGATACGATTAGCGACTGGCATTAATGACGATGTGGATGAAGATCCTACCGGAAACAAGGCTTTATGGGATAGAGGATTGTTGAATGGCGCCAGTCAAAAAGCGGACACAGTGGCGTGTTTCCACGTCGGCGAGACAGTGATGTCATTGCAGAAGGCGACTCTCATACCCGGTGGTTCCGAGAGTTTGGTTTACACGACCCTAAGTGGAACAGTAGGTGTGCTCGTGCCATTCACAAGCCACGAGGATCATGATTTCTTCCAGCATCTGGAAATGCACATGCGATCAGAGCACCCTCCTCTGTGTGGCAGGGATCATCTGTCCTTCCGATCGTACTATTACCCTGTAAAAAATGTCATCGACGGTGATCTCTGTGAACAATTCAACTCGATCGAGCCTACTAAACAGAAGAGCATCTCTGGCGATCTCGAGAGAACACCGTCCGAGGTGTCAAAGAAGCTAGAGGACATACGTACGCGTTACGCTTTCTAAACTTTTCAAGAACTATGTCTTTCGACGTGCTATTTTTTCATAGAACCTGTGTTTCTAATATATAGATCTTGAAAAATTATGGATTCTATTTTAGTCGTTCTTTTTGCATAATATTGAATTAATGTGATGCATCTTTTTTTCATTGATCCAATCATGCAAATTAAATTCTGTTACGTACGTCGTAATCGCATTCAAAACTGTGTAAAAATTCAATATTTTCTACATGAGTGATAGCTTTATTATATAGACATAAACATAATTTTTAAGATACGAGGTCTGTTCAAAAAGTATCGCGAATTTTGAATTTCCGCGGGTTACGTATATTCGATTTTCGATTTTTTTGTGGCGTTATGTTGATACTCGTGTCTCTTACTTATGCCGACAAGTTTGGCCATTTTGAATGTTCAGTTAATTTTTGACAGCTGCTTTGCTTGCACGTGTTTTGGCTCGTTTTCGATTTTTGCCTATTCCAAAAAATGGATCAAAGAATCTGTATCAAATTTTGTGTGAAAAACAAAATTAAGTACGCGGACGCATTCCGAATGTTGATTGTGGCATATGGTGAAGCTACCTTGGACCGAAGCAACGTTTATCGGTGGTTCACAAAATGTTCTCAGAGGGCCAAGAAGATGTGAACGATGAAGAGCGTGCCGGACGTCCGAGCACGTCAACAACAGACGAAAACATTGATGAAGTGAAGAAAATAGTATTGGCCAATCGTCAAATCACCGTTAGAGAAGTTGCTGAGGACTTAAACATATCGATTGGCTCATGCCATTTGATTTTTACCAATGATTTGGGCATGAGACAGGTCGCCGCGAAATTGGCTTTTGCACCATGATAATGCACCTGCTCACACATCGTTGCTTGTGCGCGAATTTTTGGCCAAAAACAACACACTAATGATGCCGCAGCCACCGTATTCCCCAGATCTGGCCCCCTGTGACTTTTTCTTGTTCCCGAAACTGAAGAGGCCCATGAAAGGACGACGCTACGCTACGATTGAGGAGATAAAGACGGCATCGAAGGAGGAGCTGAACAAGATCACAAAAAATGATTTTTCAAAGTGCTTCGAGAATTAGAAAAAACGTTGGCACAAGTGTATAATATCTGATGGGGATTACTTTGAAGGGGACAAAATAGATATTCATGAATAAATAAATAATTTTTGAAAAAACACAAAATTCGCGATAGTTTTTGAACAGACCTCGTATATATGTTAGCATCAAGATGTAATGTATATTCAATTTCTTTTAAGCAACTGTCAGTAATGGAAAAAAATAACAGTATTTTAATAGCTTTAGGGCGACTCATATAAACTTTTTGTATTTCCATAACAATTAGCGTATCGCTATAAAAATTTCGAGACATTAATTCATAAGTGTGAAAATCAGATTTAGCTTTTCGTTATGAATAGACTTTAATTCATATTGTGTATCACACGACTGTAGATAAATGTAATGACGTCATTTCATCACTATGTAAACCGTATAGAAACTAACACATTACCATGTTTAAATTGCATCAGCGAAGCAATCAAATTGCATCAATGAAGCAATTAATTTCCGCTTATTGTGGTCTTGCAAATTTGCACATTAAATCATCCTCCGAATCTAATCAATTCATCGCCTAATATTGATTTGTACATCCGCCCATCATCTTTGAATATATTTATTAAAAGGAAATGTTTTCTCTTTCTTTTCTCTCAACAGACACGATACCTCTCGCGCGCAAAATATATATATTTTTTTAATTTATAACTATATCTTTTCATAAAAGAGATGTTACAGTGCGTTTTTTACAAGAAGAACGTCTCTAGAAATAAACTTCTTTTTAAATATTAAATTCGAAAGATTACCGAAAGATTTAGAGATGTTGGAAAATATAGATTTTTCTGATTATGCAATGAGTGTGTATAAATAATACATTTTTTTAAGTTTTTAGATTATGTATATTTTTAAAAATTTATTTCCGAAATAGAATTACGATATAGAAGTCACCTGTTCAGAAATTTTTTTAACTGTCCACATATTTTTCCCAATATAGTAGATTAACTTTAATTTACTATCTCGGTTTAATTTACTCGTTATCTTTTTCTTATTCTTAACTAGAAAAACATAAAAAATAAACAAAAGGTAGTATAAAAAAAGGGCAAAGAGCCAATAACGTATAAAACAATTATAATTTAAATAAGCAAACCTAATACAAAACAATTAAAATACAATAAAATAAAATAAACGTTTCAACTCCAATTGAATCATTTTCAATGCAATCTTACATTAATATAAATATCGTTCTAAATTAAAAATTCATACATAATCTTACAATATTCTTACAATTCCTTAACAAAAAATTTTTCTTCTTTCTGTTTAATACGCTGTGAGTCATTTTTATCAAGAATTAAACAAAGTCATAAGAAAGTTCTGGAAAAGTAACCGTAAACAAAAAGAATTAATATTAATCACATAAAAATTAAAAATATGATAATATACCTTAGTAAATCTGTTAAGAGTCCAATAATACACAACGAGAAAAAAATGTAAAATGTGGTCCATTTCGTGGTACAATAAAAAAATCTTTTTAATTTAATAGGTTATTATAAGCAAATTCGCAAAGGTAATGAGCATCTGACTTAAACGATGTCACAAAACGAAATGTCAAGCAGAAAAACATTATCGAGAACGGAAAACGGAAAATTTTTTGTTAAGGAATTGTAAGAATATTGTAAGATTATGTGAATTTAATATTGTATGAATTTTTAATTTAGAACGATATTTATATTATTGTAAGATTGCATTGAAAATGACTCAATTGGAGTTGAAACGTTTGTTTTATTTTATTGTATTTTAATTGTTTTGTATTAGCTTTGCTTATCTAAATTATAATTCTTTTATACGTTATTGGCTCTTTGCCCTTTTTTTTATACTACCTTTTGTTTATTAGTACAGAGCCTTTTTTATTACTTTTAATGATAAAAAGTAAGTTAAACCGAGATTAAAGTTAATCTATATAGTAGATTAAGTAGAAATGAACAAATGAATCAATCTCCATATACATATAAAGATCGAATCCGAAATCTGCTATGAATCTACCGTTTAAATCCATGTTACATTACGCATTGGAGATTGAGAATTAGAGTACAGCCAATAAGAACAAAACAGATTAAAATTAAAATTATCTAACTCAAATCAAATTCTAATCTCTAATTCAAATAATGTGACACGAGCTTTACATAGCTATACACGCATCATCCTAAATTTTTAGAATAAATCTCTTTTTAATTTTTTTAATGGACTTTCGATCATCAGAAATTGCAGTACTACTACTTCGTAGTGATGTGTAGCTTCTAAAAGGTCTTGACCTTTTCAATGAGTCCTATTTATTTTGTTTGCTAAAAGTTTGTTACAGCAATTTTGTACGAGAAGGTAATATAAACCGCACTTTCAATCTTCAATCCGGAGGACTGAGCTTGCTATTTTTTTCTATGTTTTTTGATCCTTGAAGTGAACTTGTCAATTTTTCAAAAGGCATTTTGGATATTTAAATATAGAATGTAAAGTAATCTATAAACAAGAAGGATAGATTTCGAGCTATTTTATTAAAAATTCATTTATTGTTGACGAGACGATTAAATCACATCGAATTGTATTATTCGATTAAATGAAATCACATTTTCGCAAAGGAGAGACTTCGATTTGCAATGCCCGTAAATAGATATCGCTATTTAAGGATATCCCGGCACTTGAATTAGAATAGTGGAACGATGAATTTATCTGCGTTATGCCGATGGCATAACTAGGTGAGCCCGCATCTCAACGTCTCCGACGATGCATTCATCACTCAATAGCATCTCCCTCCTTTCTCCCTTTCAATACATGCATGTAATTATACACACAAATACACTGAGAAAAAAATCAAAATATTCGCAAGTAAATATTAATCTGAAGTTTTCTTCAATATTTATCTATCAATATCGATTTAAAAAATTTGATGACGAAGTATACATTTCTATGAAATATGTATGTCATTAATTATAAAAAGATAAAATAGATTTATAGTTTTGCAAAAATTTTTATTTGCTAGGAATACAATTTTATTTCACCGTATTTTAAGTAAAAATTTATTTCAGTGAAATAAACATCTCGCAAATTATTTTTTTATTTTTTTTCTCAGTGTGTCTATTCAATGAATAACAAAGAAGAACGATAAATTTCTAAAAGAAAAGCAGTATTTCTTATTTAAAGAAATATGTATTAAAGTTAAATCAATTTTTTGCAGTTGTGTATTAAAAAAAAAAAGATTTTTAGGACCAAAACTTCGCTCTCTCGATTGCCATTTTTTTCTAAACATGTAAACAAGATACAAATGAAGTAGCGTTACGCGACCGAACGTAACGTATATATTCTTGCGAGGGAAACTTTCATCCCTCGGGATTTTGTAATTTCTCATAATTTCACGCTTTCGATATTCTTTCCCGCAGAAGTGGATTATCTCGCATGCCTCAACACGGCGAGAATGGCGAGATACCTCTCATCCAATTATAGACGTGAACGCGCGGCTGTTTACCGCACGCTCGCGCGTTCACGCCGCCATCGGATTTACCCCGTGACCGCGTTTCGTGGGGATTAGATATTCTTAATTAGCGCGGCAGCGTACATCGCGCGGACGATGAACCGTTTGTAATAAGCGGAGATAATGAGCGCACGGCGCGCCTCAGATCGATAACCGCTCGAAAGAAGAAAGGGAACGGCGACCGCCGTTAATGCTGATAACGCGATAAGAAAGTTATCACCGATCTCTTTGTATACACTCTCCAGAAGATAATAGCGGGCAGGACAGAAAGATGGAAAGAGGAAAAAAGGGACGGAAAAAAGGAGAAGGAGAAAGAGAGAGAGAGAGAGAGAGAGAGAGAGAGAGAGAGAGAGAGAGAGATGGAAAAGGGTGTGCACCCCGTTCGATAGCCATCGTCGAGGAGGCTGTGCGATGCACGCGCCGGTGGCTGCACATATGTATATATTAGGAGCAGCGAAACGTTGTCGAGCGACGACGACGACGTCCTCGACACGCTTCGCTTCGGCGATACGAGTACGATCCTCTCCGTGACTCGAATCTGAGAAGCTCGAGAATATCGGAGAGACCTGGAAGTTGATTGCATATTTTGAGAGACAAGATAGAAATTATAAAAGTAAGCAAATTTACTAGGTGCTTACCAATAAAATTGTAAATATTTTAATTAATTTACTCACATTTGTACTTTTCATCTCGTTTCACGATACACAATTGATTTCCTGGAGAGTCGAGGGAAGAGAGTGAATGCGGCATCCTGTAACATAGTAGGCCTGTTCTTTTTAGCTGAACTTTTGCAGTTCATCTTTCTTCCTCTTCTTTCCTCCTGGAGAGAAAAAAATTGACTATAGGATGCTCCATCTAACTCGATCTCTCTCATCCAAAATTATCTGCCTTCTCCATAGGCCTATTCTTTTTAATTGAACTTTTGCAGCGGTTCATATTTCTTCCTTTTTTCTTTAGGAGGAAAAAAGAAGAAAGATGAACTGCAAAAGTTCAGCCAAAAAGAACAGGCCTTATATTGTATCCTCGCGGAGAAATGTATGAGAAAGAAATTAATTGATCTCTCCAGCAATTAAGAGAACGTTTCATCTTTGTTTAACATTGACAAACATCAAGGATGTAATGATTCACTGTAGAAATCTTATAACGGAGTCTGACCACGAACGATTTTGTTAAAATCTTGAGAGAGGAAGATGTATATATTATTTACTTCTTCTCTGTGTACATATATACTATACCTCACTTTAACTTACATCTGTCTCATTCTATAACTGTAATTAAGATTGTAGAGTGAGATAACATAAGCTAGAGTGAGATAGTATATATATATATATTTTATAATATATTGGGTCATCTAAAAAGTATCCGCGGTTTTTTGTCACTAAATGTGTGTTGATGGTCATATCTAGTGACAAAGTACCGCGGATACTTTTTAGATGACCCAATATATTACGAGACCGTTAAAATATACACGCCGCTACATTCGTTAAATA